AAAATATCCTTTGGCCTGCTTCATTATCTTTTTTCTTCTTGCCCTTGAGGCAACTGAACTTACTGATCTTGGCATTTTCTTTTAATTTTTTGGACAAGGCGGACAGTCGTTACGTCTGCCACTTTATGAGCACTGGCCCAGGGTTTAATTAATAACTCTTAAAATAGTACTTAGATACACAATTGCTTTTTGATGTTGGCCTCATCGGCCTTATCAACCAGCGTGCTGTGCGTTAAATTACGCTTCTGCTTTGTTTCCTTTTTGGTAAGGATGTGGCTTTTAAAAGCGTGTTTTCTTTTGATTTTACCGGTGCCGGTAAGCTTAAAGCGCTTTTTGGCACTGGCCTTGGTTTTCATCTTAGGCATTACTGTCTATTTTTATCTCGGTTCTGAATTTATTTGCTCTTGGGCGCCATCATCATGATCATGCGCTTGCCTTCTAATTTAGGCAGGCTTTCAACCTTGGCTAAATCTTCCAGGTCTTGTGCCAACCGCAACAAGAGAATTTCCCCCTTGTCTTTAAAAACTATTGAACGACCTTTAAAGAAAACGTACGCCTTTAGCTTAGCCCCTTCTTTTAGAAAGTTTTCCGCGTGTTTGCGCTTAAATTCGTAGTCGTGGTCGTCTGTATTCGGGCCAAATCTAATTTCCTTCACTACCGTTTTTTGCGCTTTCTGCGCAATTTCCTTTTGCTTTTTCTTTTGGTCGTAAAGGAATTTCTTGTAGTCAATTATTTTGCAAACGGGAGGGTCGGCTTTATCTGCAATTACAACTAAATCAAGTTCGGCATCAGCGGCCATTTTTTTGGCTTGATCAATGGGGTACACACCCTGTTCAACGTCATCGCCAACAACTCTAACTTTTGGAAACTTAATTTTGTCGTTAATCAGGTGTTTATCTTCCTGCGGAACACGCCTTGGTCCTCTGCGTTGGTACGGTCTTCTGGCCAGAATTCTAAATTTTAATTATACAATACTTTATTTAAAGGCAGCAATTTGCTGCTCAATCTCGTTTTTCACCATCTCGGCAAAGTCTTCCAGGCTCATTGATCCCTGGTCGCCTTCCCCGTGCTTACGCACTGATACGGTATTTGATTCTTGTTCTTTTTCGCCAACAATCAACATGTACGGGATTTTCGCCACTTCGGCATCCCTGATTTTCCTACCGGTTTTTTCAGCCCGTTCGTCAACGAGGGCGCGAAGTTCGTAATTTTTAAGCAAATACGAAATTCTCTCCGCGTATTCCATGTATTTTTCGCTGATTGGTAAAATGGCAATCTGCTTAGGTGTTAACCATACGGGAAAGTTTCCGGCACAGTGCTCAATCAAAACCGCTACAAATCGCTCCATGCTGCCAAAGGGCGCGCGGTGAATCATTACCGGGCGGTGTTTCTCATTGTCGGCTCCAACGTACTCTAATTCAAAGCGTTCGGGCAGATTGTAGTCAACCTGTATGGTGCCCAACTGCCACTGCCGTCCCAGGGCATCTTTCACCATAAAGTCAAGTTTGGGGCCGTAAAATGCCGCTTCTCCGTACTCCACCACGTAGTTCAACTCTTTTTCGGCCACGGCCTCGCGAATGGCACTTTCGGCTTTTTCCCAGTTTTCATCAGAGCCAATATACTTGCTATGATCTTCTTTATCGCGCAAGGAAACCTGAGCGGTGTACTCTTTAAAATCTAAGGTTTTAAATATGTAGAGCACCAGGTCAATTACCTTTTTAAACTCGTCTTTTAATTGATCGGGCGTGCAAAACAAGTGGGCATCGTCTTGGGTAAAGCCCCGAACGCGGGTTAGGCCGTGAAGCTCGCCACTTTGCTCGTAGCGATAAACGGTTCCAAACTCGGCAAAGCGAATGGGCAAATCGCGGTAGGAGCGCGGTTCTGCTTTGTACAATTCGCAGTGATGCGGGCAGTTCATGGGCTTGAGCAAATACTCCTCGCCTTCTTCAGGCGTGTGAATGGGCTGAAAGCTGTCTTTGCCGTATTTGGCGTAATGGCCACTGGTTTCGTAAAGTTTTTTATTGCCTATGTGCGGT